TCGATGTGATACCTTCTCATCTCCTTTGCAATCTGGGCTGCCTTACTGGGTTCAAACATCGTACGGACATTCCATGTCCCCACGTTTACTTTCGCTTTCATCGAGAGAAGACACATCGGCCAATTGGCTTCCCGAAGGCTTCCACCAACTGGCGTCATTTCGCCTCTCCGATTCCAGCGGGGAATAAGTTTGTTATTATTTTTTATATTTTGTTTGTGCTTTGAAGTTTCTTTAGCGGTTAGATTTGTTTTCCGGGGTAGGGTTGCTAGCCCTATGCCCAACCTTCCCTCTTTACCCGGACTTAGGACCGGCTAGTAACTAGTAAACTAGTTAACCAGGCGAGGTTGACAGTTCACATACTTGAGTAAATTCAAAAAGTAATTACCACTTTTTGGAAGCAGAAAATAAAAATACGCTAAAATTGATTTTGAGTGAGTTACGTGATCTTGGAGACCAACAAAACTAGTAAAAGTGGTTTTAAGTTTAAATGATGGAGTGGACAATATTTAACACAAATTATAGGCTATGAATTAGCAGATGCACAAGACAAAACTATAGATTATGATTAGGATTATATATATATATATATATATATATATATATATATATATATATATATATATATATATATATATATATATTACCAGGTGCATCGTCAGGAATTCCGATAATTGGGCTATCTGACAGCTGGCTATAGTGAGTAAGATTGTCACCTATGATGGAGTTGTCTTCGGAGTCAGCTGGTTGCAAACAGTCAATACTAGCAGTATCTCCACGTCAGTTTCATTCTAATACATAGAATTTCTCGTGTCGCTTGATGACTCCAAATGGTCCATCTTAAGGTGGTTCAAGTGGTTGACAAGCGGGATCTTAGTGTATTAAAACGTGTGTTGTCTTTTGTAAAATGGAGTGAACAAAGACATCAGTTATTTAAGGTCAAACACGAGTAGGCCTCTCTGAACGCATTGAGTTTGTAAGCCTAGTCACGTAAGATGTTCCACCAAAAGCATTCGTGAAAGTTGAAGGGGAAACGAACCTACCCGGTAGGTGAGAAGCAGTTCCATAAACGAGTTCTGCAGAAGTGTATCCAGCATCAGTTTTCAACGCATTCTGAATGCCACGTAGGACTACAGGTGGGGCATCGGTCCACTGAGGTTTGTTTGCAGCTGGAAGGGAGGCTTTCAGCTTTCGGTGGAAACATTCTACTAGGCTATTTGCTTGCGGTTGGTAAGCTGTCATTCGAAACCAAATGCACCTGAAAGTGCGGTTAAGGCGTGAAATAATCCATCCTTGGATTGGAGCTCATAGTCGGTTGTTACGTAAGATGAACATCCAAAGTTTGCGATCCATCTTTCGATGAAAACACAAGCGATAGTTTCAAATACAATATCGTCAGTGGGTAATTCTTCTAGCCATCTCGTAAAACGATCCACGCAGGTAAAAAGGTAGGTGTGTCCATTAGATTCTGGTAGAGGTCCTACAATATCTATACGGATGTGGTTGAAACCCATGTCCGAGGCTAGAAAATAACCTAAAGGGCTTTTCGTGTGTCGTATGACTTCAAACTTTTGACAGGCTACGCACGATTGAGCCCACTCCTTAACGTCTTTGTTCATTCCCGGTCAGCAGAAACGTTGTGCAATAAGCCTAATGATGTCTCGTACACCTGGATGAAACAGTATGTGGAGCGTATCAAAGACGTTGAGTCGATATCTCTTCGGAACTATTGGGGGTGGTTGACTGGAGGATAAATCGCTTAAAATTTTATTTTTGCCTGGTCCTACTGGGTACACTTGTAGCTTGAGGGTTGCTGACAACAGCTCATGGTTCAGTTCAAAATCTTCTTTTGACACCGACTTCGTCCAACGAGATTATCACCTTCGATACGGTTTATCGAACCTATTCGGGAAAATGCCTCGGCTACAGAGTTATTTGCCCAGATACGTGGCAGATATCTGACGTGAACTGGGAAATTTAATCCAGTTTTCGTGACTCTTGTGGGAAGTATTTATTCAAAATCGTCTACTTCACTGATCGTTCGACTTTTTAAGAACTATTTAGGAAATCTTCCTTTGATAACCACGATGAATTCAGTTTGACTGATATCGCGCCGAAGACTCTTGGATTCATTATTATCCGACACCTAACTGCAGCTCAAGAGCAGGAAAAGTGACGAAACCAGGTAGGTTTCAAAATCAAATGACAGTGTATCGACCAAACCTTAATCATGACAAGCTTTGGAGCACAGGCATCCTTATCAGAGGAAGACACGCTATAATTCGTAACCTGAAAGCAACATTCAGCTCTGTTGACTGAGACGTGTTGTGCTAGTGTCTGGCTGTGAAAGGAGTACAGAGCAGATACATAGCGTTAGTTAAGGCTTTTTACTGGGACTTATGCAGTCGTTTCAGGGCTTATGGATAGTTGTCATGTGAAATGGTGACAAGTAGTGGAGTTCGCCAGGGATGTCCACTGTCACCGTTTCTAGTTAACTTTGCGGTAGACGTACTAATGGATATTACCTTACATACGTCCGACTTTAGAGGAATTGACTTACTCCCTGGAGTATGCAGATGATAGTTCCCTACAAGGTGGAGACGCTGGCGCATTACAGCGTCTTCCGAGTGCCCTGAGTAGAAATCTGTGTATGTTCGGCGTGCGTTTCGTAGGTATCGAATGTTAGATGATGCCTCAGCACTGGTCTCCAACTACTTCCAGTGGAATGTGTCAACCACTTCACTTACACGGGAAGTTACATCAGCCAAAACGGACTGCTTTTTCACTAAATCTTAACTTGGATAAAAAATGAACTCTTACCATTTGTCAGTCTGCATCATTTCTGGAGCTGGCTGGTGAGATATGCGAATGCCTGTTTAGGGTCAAGTATACTGTGACAGAGTCCGTCCTATTCTGCTATTCCAATATGAGACATAGTTGTTAGGAGTATAAGATATAAAGAGACTACAGGTTTTCACAAAATGTGCCTTCATAACATTGCTCGCGTCCGTTGGAATCACCGTATTAGCCATATCAAGGTTAGGCGTGAGGCACTAAGCAAGCAAGGGAATTCAGTGGATGAGTTTGTGAACCTTCAGGTACCTAGGTGACCTGGACATTTGTTGTACATACCTAGTCACAACCTACTTTGACAGGCTATATTATCTTAATCAGAAGTGGGTCGGAAGAAAGCCCACAGTATTCATATCACGCCAAGCTGTAGTCCATGTGGTCAACAGTTGGTGGTTTAAGCTATATGGGGAGATGCAGACTAGTTGTTTGGGATCCTGGAGAAGAGAGGAATCAGTGATCGGAGACCCTCTATGACATGACTGAAGATCGGTGGCAGTGATGCGTGCTTATTTACTGTTTAACATCTCCCAATGTTCACTGATCTAAATTTTCAGGTTCCTTCACCTCCAATACACTTTTGTCGACTTTTTTACTACTGCCTTTACCCGGTTGTTTTTGTATCCTCCTGTGAAGTGTGGCAACTTGAACGGATGCACTGCTGTGCGAGATTCTACGCTGATTTTTCTGTCTGCATCTGCCTGAGAGTTATCACTCTAAGCACCTACCTTGATCAGTTAGCGACATAACAAGCATTTAGATAGTTAACTGCCGTCACTACTACCAGCTGTCCGTTTAGGAATCTGGATGCTGCAGTACTAGCAGAAAAAGGTTTTTGTGATGGGTCAGTTACCAGTCGTATAGTGAACTACAGCAAACTCCAGCGACACTGTTTTCTGCAGAAAACGTTCGCTGTCATCAGTGAGTGATTGCAGTACCACATATGATTACTTTGGATATGAGTTATTTAGGTAAATATACTGCGCATCGAATCACACTACTCATAAGTAGCTAGAGTAGTAAATGAAATAAACATGAACACGATGTAAGATTCCTTATTTCAAAAGAAATAAGATGCAATTGCTGTCACAAATTCAGCTGTTGGTACAATGTATTTTAAAGTCATAGTGCGGTTGTAAAGTCAGAATGAATATGAATCTCGATGCAGGATTAAAATGTAACGTGCTTGAAGGAGTATCTAGCATGCATCAGCTGTATAGAAGAAACTTGGATGTTACGTGTAAATTTTGAGCAAGATGTTTTCTAAATTCTAACAATGAGCATCAGTGAATCATAAAAATTATGACAACCACAAATACAGACTAAGACAAAGTCTGTATCATCCATCCCTTAAATTGCTGATAAACATTACCGTAAGAAATGTTGTAATCTGTGAAAATATTTAGTTCCCAACTGCTAAGTGAAATTTTTGTCACTCTTTTGTAATCAATACTTCAATATTCACTATCTTTTAATACATATACCTACTTTAATGTTAAATTCACGTCAGTTTCAAAAATTTATTAATTGGCATGGTATGAAGAATTTTCTTATTACTTGGTATAAACCGCAGCTCAGTCAAAATGCATGCCTTGTATCTATGATCACAGGTAGACCATGTGAATGTCAAAGCATTTGTCTCTTTTGGCTAATGAACAACGGCAGATTGTACTAATTCCTGGTAGCACGTAGAAACCAAGACAACCTTATTTCAATGAATATAATTTAAAATTTATTTGACAGCTTCAGTAGAGTCGCCAACAGGCAATATCGGGCCTAGAAACTCCTAATATCTGCTGAGAACCAATGAAATCCACTACAGATGCCGATACCAGCTCTGGAGTGAGACATGTGGTTGTTTTAGTGTACTTCCGCAGCCAAAATAACAACGAATAACATGTTTATAGACGTAAGTCAAGCAGAATGGTTTCGTTACCAAGATCTTCAATGAGTCTCGAGAAGTCTGAAATTGAGTGACCGCTGAAGCAACCCTGAAAACGGTTAAAGTTAGCAGTCGAGCTTATGAAATTTGCTATAAAACTATCTTTATAGCTGGAATAAAAAGACGCGATCAGTAGTTTTGGCGGTTACTGATCTATATTGTAATGATATCATAATTATTCTTTATGCACACATCCTTACTTCAATTGTGGCTCACTGACAGTTTTTGCCCTCCAGATGTTACACCAATAAAATAATTACAACACTGCAAAAAATGACAGACAATTTATTGATAAATTTGAGTTATGTCTTTTATTCTTCAATACAGGGTTGAAAATAAGTGCAGTGATTTCTAATCTTTAGATTTCGCTAAATCTTTAAGTAGTAGCGGTTTGATATAGGGTACATTTTGGTTGCGAATAGTTTTGTCTAGCTGATCGTTTGATGTGGACATTATAGTTGAATTTTCATTTGAAACGTTTATTTGAGCCAGACTAGCTGAACGTCCTTGAAATTTCAATGAATGTGATAACTGCATATTTGGACCAGGTGTACTAGCTTTTCGTAAAAATGGCAACTTGAAAAGTGACTGAATACCCTTAGTTGTAATAAATTTTACGGAGTTATTCTCTGATGCACTTATTTCAGCAGATGCATTCAGTGTATTCGATGCTTGTGTTTTGCTTTGCATTGTACTTGAATACACTGGTAAAGCTGATTGACTAACAGATCGCTCGTTTGACAAATTAGATTTTCTAAGTGATGGATTACTCATTGGAATTGATTTGTTTGATTGGTCCAAATTATTTGTACTCACTGATGTCTTTGAAGATTTAAGCCATTTTGAGTGATCTTCATTTTTAGGCAAGTGACTGCTGTTTTGACCTGTGATTCGTGGGCGATGATCAAAATTCTTAGGTGAACTATTTGCCTGGCTAACTGATACTGGTCCCCATGGAGATTCAGTGAATTTCCGTTGGATTAAACGACGTTCACTTGTAGCCGTAAATAAGCCATTTAGAAACAAACTTTTGCGATCATCCTATTTTCATTCATACGAAATGAAAAATAGAAATTGTTAGTTGTTTACAAAATAACGAAGAAATCAGATTCTCTGAATCTATATCAGATGCCAATAACACTAACGAAACGATTAAACTATTAAGAGTGATCTAATGTAATTCATAAAATGATTTCTTGACTTCTGAAATGATTACCTTTTACTTTCAGCGAACTTTAAAGCAGTTTTTCAATACACTTATCCAGCATGCTAAAATTCCCTTAAAACAATCGAAAGAATGATTCAGTTCATCCTTTTGTAATCAATATTATTTTGAAAGGTACACTAAAGTAAGAATTGGTATAAGAATATATATATTCACTTTCAAAGGTTCTTGAGGATTTATTAACTGATTTCAAGTTGACTTTCATTACGGAATGATATCAGTTAAGGAACCGTTGAGAACCTGGGAAAGCTGGAGTTCCTCAGTAGTGCACACCTACGATTCCGCCATAGATCGCATACACGACCTTTAGGTTCCGTAACGATCATGTTGCCAATGAGCCACAGGATTTGATCCAGTGCTTCCATTTTCCTACTTCTATCAATTCAGTATATAACGTGACCTAGAATCGATGAATCCTTATAAACCCTCGGAAATGAATTACTGAGCCCATTAGTGACTAACTTCAGGATGAGGTTCATAGATGGAAGTGAGGACAGGTACTCAACGACGGCATTGTATGAAGATCGCGCTGTATTGCTGATTGACAGAAGTAAGAAATTGTGGATCTTCGGATTATGAACCAAGAGCTCAGTAGTAAAGTGCTTGCTGAGGAACCTGTAGGTCCTGGGTCACCATTCATGAGGGGTCACATACAAGGAAGAAACAGTTGTTGAATTCTCCCATCAACGATGTCATTCCCTGATGAATACCAACTTGCAATTATATTCACTCACATTGAAATACAAAAGAAGAAAACGACAGAATATGAAGAATAAGAGATATTCATTGTTTTCTTCGGAAATTTTACTTCAGCCGTGATAAAAATTGCTAAGTGTAAAATAAGAGGAGTGGATACTCGAGAAGAAAGCAACTAGCACTTTAGACTAATTCAGTTATCGTTTCCTTGCACCACTTGAAACTCGATGTCCACATATAACCACGCTCCAGTGATATGTACAACCCATCGTCAGTCATTTCCAACAATATCGAATCCCAAGTTGTTGCGTTAAGTTCAAGTGTCACTCTAGTCTGCAAAACAAAAGCGATATATATATATATATATATATATATATATATATATATATATAATCGCCTATGTTAAACGTATAAAATAAAACAATTTAGTTTGGTAGGTGAAACCTACATCATATCTGGTCAATAAAGAAAGTACATGAATATTAAACTTTGTCAGCTTCCTGTAGAGAATTTTATGATTTTCGTCACATTTTTAGAAAAGCAAAACGAGCTATTGATGATAATAATAGTAGTAGTGATCAGAGAGTGGCAAGTGTCAGTACTTCATTATCCATAATTATCAACCACAAAATTATTTGAGCGTTCTCTTAATAAGCTAACTAGCTAGTATTTGTTGAAGTGATTACAGATTAAGGCATATCAATGTAACCCCTAACCTGAATCAACATATTTACGGTTAATCAGATAAAAAGCATCATCACAAAACCGATGACCATGCTGCATAAGTTAATCCATCAAAAGTGTGTGAATCAGGAAGCAGCTTCAACGATCAAATATATGAAATACTGAAGATTACCGCTAAGCCAATGACTTTTTATTGACACACCTTTCGTTAGTAAATTCAGTTGAACCACTAAGGGTTGATGAGGATAAAGCTTATTCTTCAAAATTTGCCAATCAGTCAATATATTTGTCGCCTATATTTTTGATAATAATATCCAAAGATACATGGAAACGTTTAATTCCTTTCACGGCTTCAAATTCTGCACTTTTCATTTATAATTTACCTGTGGTTTAATGCTAAATGAGATTCGCACACTGAAATATAATGGTCAACTATAAGCCACAAATCAAAGTTTACCGAATGAGAAACCGGTAATTATTTACAAGTTTTTACTGTCACATGATCCTGAGTTCTACATGGACTGAAGTCAAAAGCTCAATATTACATTTTGTGCATCTTGAGCTGTAACAGATCATACAAAATTCATTTAGCAGAAATAATGTAAGTTATGGGATAATTTTAGTCACAGGGTGACATCGTTTCGGAAACTGTTGAAAACCTGGTTGTACTGGATATCTGTTTCGACTCAAATTTGACTTCTTCAGCAGTACATACCGATTAGTGTAAAAAGACCAAGGGTTTCACTGTACAGCTTTCTACTTCTGTTGGTTTGCGATACAGTGTGACCATTATTCGGCACCAATGGGAAGTATTTGTTCTCGCGCCCAACTTGACCAACCACAAAAGTCACGTGATATCAGCAAAATGTTTAGGCAGTTGAGGAAAGTCACTTGAGAGCAGCTCAAGTAATTCAAGTCATTAACTGGGTTTTAAGTTACAGTCTAATGTTTTGATGAAATGCTTATCCACACATGCAATAGTTTTAGTTACTCTGTGATTAAAGTCAGTGCATTTTACGTATTAATAATACTATTTCCAAACTTATAGGAGAATTTTTAAAAAACTTTCTTTTAGGTACTGACTTACACTTTGATAATCCCCATTGGTGCAATGTTAGAGTTTTTGAGGTATTACACCGCTACCGGATCGCTCAAACTCGGTTCTAGTGCAAGCTGCAGCGTCATTATATGTCTTTGGACTTTAATCTAACTAAACCCAGGAATGATCAGTATACTCAAGAGGACAGAGCTAAACGTTTACTGGCTATCTTAGGAAAGTCAATAATATTTAGCTAGTGTGTCGAACTAGTCATCCCAGTTTTCAGACACCGTATGCGGATAGCACAGTGGGTAAGATGGGTTGAAAAGTGCTTGCAGTATGCAGCCTCTGTAGCTTATTTCAGGGTTGAATTCCATTTTCAAAATCTTGACCACCTTTTTCAATCTCCTCATTTATCGTTATGATAATGATATGGTATTTTAAACTTGTTTCAATAGTCTGTTTCAAAAAATACTCCAGTTTTTTTATGCGTATCTACTAACAGGTTGAAGTACACTCTTACCGGTATTGTTAGACGGAAGGTAATCAACCAAGTAGTCACTATGATCTAAAATTATAAGTATCAACTTCAAAAGCTCACATTCATTGTCGTACTGCATTTTTGTAGGTAAACAACGACAACATTATTTATTTTCCCTGGTTTTGATTTAGCTTAGATCCGTCAACGCATAATTAAACAAACTCCAGTATAAAAACATCTTAATTCCCGCGCTATCAAGTTCAACTATGAGTTTCATAAAGGTTGCTGATACACTTTGTTGGTTGATATTAAGGCTAGAAAAGCAAAGTGTACTGTTTTCTTTCCAGTTTCTGAAAATCTTTTGAGTTGTATAAGTTAATATACAGCAAAATACTCCTCTTTCTGGGCCAATAGATTTTATCAGCGAAAAGTATACCACTAGATAACAATAAGTTAACTTATGAAAATATATATATTTATGTGTCCAAACATTATGAAATTCATACTGAAGTTAGTGCTCATGATGTCGTCTAGAAAGACGATAAAAGCTTCACGATTAAACAACCTAGTTCAGAGAACATAATACAACCAAGACCATCCATCTGAGCTACAAATATTCCTCACTATTTCAAAATTATGAAATTCTACTGTCGAAAGATAGAAACGTTAGTTTAAAAGTCAAATATGTACATAGTCTGAAAAAGAGAACAGTTATTCTTATATTAGGATGTTAAGATTAAGCATAATTACGTGGAATAATCAATTCACTTAATTAAGTTAACTGAACATTTTCAATAAAGTCCAAGGGTTTTCAACGGGTTGTTGGGTAGTAAACAATACTGATGGTGAAAACTTACCGTTAAACCAACTGAACTTTACCGAAAATTTAAAATAATCATTGATGCCTTAAACATGAAGATAATTTACACTCGAATCTCTACATAACACCCAAATGAATCAAAAATGTTTAAACAAGAAGTCACATTTTATTATGAACACATGAAGTTTAAAAATGTCAGAGAAATTTTAGTCAGTTGTCACAGCAATATTTACTCTTGATAAATTCGCAATGTCACTGGTTATAGGTTTCCAAAATAAGTGGTTTTTAACTACTTGGAACCCATGATATGAAATAAACCAGTCAGTTGTCTTTTTATGATGGTTATATATATATATATATATATATATATATATATATAATGTGAATAAAGATAAATCGGTTCATTTGCTCCCATACTCCCGGGTGTGCCTACATTTAGTTATTGACCAACACTGTTTACATTATTGAACGTGACTGTATTTTTTAAACTACAGGTTGCTTTCATGTACGAGTAACGTCCTTCCGACTTCGTTTTAGTCCACTGTTTTGCAACATAAGCCTATACAACAGATATTACCGTTCATTTATATGGACGGAAAAAAGAAAGACAGTAATGTACTCTAGATATTAATTTGCTTCTTACTGTACTCACTCAAAATTATCTAAACATGTTTTCTGAAAATTTACCTCTTGGACAGTGATACCATGACAAACCGGAAGGGTTAATTAGTCCTTTAGTTCTTTGTGGTGACACCCGTGAAACCAACCAATAGAAAATGCTACCTCCGTGATGACTAAATACAACAGCTAAATACAACTTCCTGTCATAGTGCCTAGTCTTGGTTCTCTGCTAAAACAATAGGATATGCTGGCGTTTGTTTATTGTCTTACATAATCGAAACGTCATTACCACAACTTGTGAGTGGGAAAGAAAGCTTATACATAAGTCAAAAATTATCACTTACATCGATTTCATCAAATTTTTATTGATTAGAATATGAACTCTCGAAAAAGATTATCGGAACAGCAGCATTATAATTATGACTAAATTCGTGTTATAATCCACAGACTCAGTAACCATGAAAAAGTTCATGTA